AAGAACTGATTTATCGATCACGTTACGTGAAAAACAGGGTAGACATGTAAGAGCAATGATCGATCATATTATCGATAAATGACTGATCGATGAGGTAATCGGTAAATGGAGACTAAAGCAAAACATAGAATGAGTAGACCGCATTACCATTTATCTGTCTTCTCATCGATAATCTATTTATCGATCATGTTATCGATAAATGCCTATTTATCCATAACGTTAACCTTGTTTATCGATCAAGTGATCGATAAATACATTTATCCATAATGTTATCCGAAAACCATTTATCCAACAGGTTATAAAACCTTAATAATATGTATGAAGATAAAAGAGAAGAATTGAGGAGATAGTACCAGTAACTCGATGAGTATGTAGTCGCTTGATCAGGCTCGAGTAACATATGATAATGGCTTTTCATTTCTTCATCTCTTCTAGATCTTTTACTCAATAACATGTTTGAGTAGCATGTTGCTTGAGAGTTCAGTGTAGAACTTCTAGTCTTTGCCTCAATAAATTCGAAGTCTGATTCCAGCAAAACGAAGGTCAACTTTGGGTGATCATAAATCTTCCAATTCAACTCCAAGTTTTGCAAATGACCTATCTCCAGAAAGCTCTTTGAGTCTACTTTCTAATGCAACAAGAATTACCCCAAAATTCGTTGTGGTTGCAAAGTTATATTCATCACAGTGACTGAAGGTCGGAATCAAGGCGTTAATCCTTACTGCAATGTTTCGAGCAACATATCTCCCTCATATGAAACTCTTTGAAGGTGAATTTAATGTCCATGAACCGTGTTCTGAGTCTAGTTTCATAGGAATCAAGTTTCACCTCAAACGGATTTGTGATTTGAGAGATATTGAAGAAATACTGAACCTATGTCAGAGTTGAACGAAGAACAGAGCATAACAGAGGATGTATTTTATCGATAACTTGATCCATAAATGGATGATCGATCAAGTGATCGATAATTGCCCATAAAAATCACCTCTGATGCTTATTTTCCATGTTTATATAAAGGGTGACTCAATATATGATGGTATAACTTCCCGTTTGTATATTTTAGCTTCCGACTGAGCCATTCAAACTTCTGATTGAGTATAGCAACATTTAACATCAAATCTATGAACTTGAATCTTGATATTTTCATTTGATCTTGCAAGTTCTTCTTTTCTCAATCTCTCTTCTTCTTCTTCCTCTTGATCATTCTCCATAACTCAAAGTGCAACATAATAACTCATTTCTTTTCTTGAGGAAACTATGATAGTAAGTCAAAATATGAGATAAATAATTTATGTAAACTTTTTGCTCTATTATTTGACATCATCAAAACTAATCATATCTAACAACACTCAATTAAATTCTGGTTACACAAGCTTAATTAACTACAAGTTTCCTATCATAAAACACGTTTCATATATATGGAGTCTTCACAACGTTAGATTAGCAGTGAATAAAAAAAAATTATAATAGTTCTATTGAAGGAAATCTGCACCACAGGTACACTAAAAGGCTTTTCTGCTATTGATGAATGTAGCAATTAATAGCAGAAATAGAAATTTGAAAGAGCAAAATAAAGTAGCTACAAGGAAAAGAAAAATAGTCCCCTAACTTTCAAAGCAGGTTTACTTTCCCCACTTTTGGCCAAGTGCCTTTAGAAAGCGAAAAAGATGGAACAGCTCTGCATGTAAACAACGTTCTCCATTTTTGTATTGTAAAACCCAAACTTACCAACATCCATTGAAGCGATTCCTTTGAATTGGACCCCAGGGGCCAAATCGATTGATTTTGTGAAATATTAGACATTTTACTTCACAACATGCTGAATAAAAATCTTGCATTTACCTAAGATAAGAATTATCTTAAACAGTTAAAACAGTCACATCAGGTATAACTTTTCATAGATTTAAATACTTTAACTAAGTTGTAAGGTTGTGAGGTGAGTTATGGGGATTTGGGGTGTGAGCTGCCACCTACGGCCTCTTAATTTTGTTTTTTACTTCTCAATTTTTTTTTACTTGTTTCTCTTTTATCATCTATGTAAAATGAGTGATATTTTGATATTGTGGGAAGTGGGGGAAAAAACTAAGGGGCGGAAATCCGAGTCATGGAAAATCTAATGATAAAAAGAAAACATTTGAGAAGTGGGGAAATCGAAAACTAACAGATAAGAAGTAGCTGACACCCCAAATCCCACTCATGGAGCTCTGTCGGGGGTGTGTATCTTTGTAACACATCCCAAACAGATTCCATGGCATTCTTGGCAACTGCTGCATTGGAGCAATAAGGATTTCCAGACAATGATGACAGAACTCTACCTTTCATGCATTGTGCTCCTTGTCCCCGTAGATTCCAGTAACCTCGGAGCAATTCTCGCTTGAAATGACAATCCCCACTGAGATGATTGGCTCGAAGCTCACTACAAGCATGGTGAGCACTATTAGTCCAATCCAAATTAGCAGCACGACATTCTTCCAAGGCATGAATCAACTTGTGAGCTATCACTGGTTGACCCCATCTTGATCGTGAAGCTTATTGATGCACACTGTTACCCCATAACCAGGGATGTACTTCCCGGCCACGTTCTTGCTACAATTTACAGCTTTGAAGAAATTGTTCCCCACAGGACAACGAGAGACTTGTTCATGGCCTCCCTCAAAAACCTTGCCATTGGAGTTTGGAGGCCTGTTTGAATCATTGATCCACATTGCTTCGCAGTCTTGAAGCCGCCGGCCGACGGTGCCCTTTTGTTGCCTTGATGTCTTCCATCCATTCACTGTGATTCAACTTGGACATGAGCTCATCAGTCTCTACAAAATTAGCCGAAAATTGCGAGATCAGAGTAGATCCCGAAATTGTAGTAGACTACACCTAAGTAAAGTTCCTGAGCCGCAAAAGTAAAGAGTACATTATTTCTTTGGGAAGATGATGACCAAAGATAATGGTCCAATCCCAACATTCCTGGTGTGGAGCAATTCCACCGTGTGCAGACTGCAGAGTGCTTTAGAATCTTTTGTCCTTTCTCCATTTTCTTTGCGCGGTGAAGTTAAAAATTAAAGGAAATATATACATAAATAAATTCAAGTAATTCAATACACCGTGGCGTTTATTTTGATTACCCATTCTCTAATTTCTTCCTAATACACGTCTTAGGCTAGGGGAGCATGGTAGATGCATATACGGATCAACCAGAAGGGAAGCCGCAAAATTTCAACTTTTGATCTCTTCTTGTGTTACACTACTTAAATTTAATGAGGAAGTCAAATTCTGAAGTATGATTTTGATCCGACAAAAAGGGGGGAACATTTATTAGTATAAGATAGATTAAACAAATTAATAGTTAAACGTTTTTTAATTTCGAAATATATAAATACTCATAAAATATTAAAAACCCAAATTAATCAGTATCCCAGATTGATAAATTAACAAACGAGATCTGAAACACTCACTTGATGTTTTAGAATTTGAAAATTTTAAATAGATGCCTTCAGTTGACCCAAACCTGCGCTACCATCTCTACTTAAAACCTGCAGAAGTATTCACAACTTGTTACTACTTTTGATATTTAATATAAGAGCTAGGTGGTAGTTAGATTTGATCTTAAATATAAGTTTTTAATTCACTTTGTCTTCTTCTTTTTTTTAAAACCAAAATATCCCTATTGATTGCAAGGATTTATACCAAGGAATAATTCCAATAATCAAGTGGACATGATTGAAGAGGGTAGTCTTGGAAGACTTACACATACCTGTGACAAATAGTCAACTTAACTAATTTCTTTATGGAAGAATCCTATAAAAAGAACTTTAAAATTACTAAATCCCAAATAAAGAAATTTTACAAAAATTATGAGATAATTCTAATAATCTAATGAACGTGATTGAAAAGAGTAGTTTTGGAAGACCAATATACATTTATGACAAATAGTCAACTTAACAGATTTCTCTATATGAGAGAACCCAATAAAAAGAACTTTAAAATTACTAAACCCCAAATATTTTTTTTTAACAAAAATGTGTTGTTATCTGCAAATCCGGTACTGTCAAAACTTACTAAGTATACCAAATCTGATTGGTGATTTAGTATTTTAAAAATTCTTTGCGTGAGATTTTTACTTTTTTAAATATTTCCAAATTAGTTATTTAGCTCTTTTATTAAGGATTGGAGGTGACATTTATTATGTCAAATAATCGTTATTAGATAGGATCTTAAGTGAAGGGTAATAAAGTCAATTCACCAAATTTTGAAATCCCAAATGAGTGCCATTCGATTTATCTTTCGTTTTATCAAGGAACAAAAAACGGAACCGGAAACTAAACCGGTCGAGATACTGGGTTAAGGGTTACTGGTCTGACCGGGGTCGGACCGGGGTCGGACCGGTCACATTAAAATAATAAAATTTAATTTACAATATTAAAGTGGAACAAATAATGCAGCCTTCTCCTCTTTATAAAATTAATCTAAAAGAATCAAATCAACATTATAATCAAAATTGTAATCAATATAGGAGGCAGCACTTGGCATCTAGATTCCTGACAACTCTTAGCTAGTGAGCGCACGCAGAGAGGGAACTAAGCCAAAGCCACTGCCAGGATGTCACCATCCCTCGTTCTCATCATCACCCAAGGTTATAGCTTTTCCAAGCACCCTATGATAGAAATAAAATAATGTTTTAAATATCAATTTTCCCCGTATTTTTATATTGTTTCTGGCTAATCATATCACCAATATATCGGTATCCATTTATCATATGGAATCTATAAAAATACCTGCCAAATTGTTCCATATCTTTTTATCTATTTTCAGATCCCAACGTCCAGCTTCTCTCCATCGTCCTTGAAAAAGACGCTCAAAGCATGAGCTAGCCATTAAGCTTCTCGTTCCACACATTCCAACACCCCCTATTCCCATTCGCTTTAAAAATACTGATATGCTCACACTTCGCGACTCACAGTCTCACACTCACACACCGACTCATTCCTTTCCTCTCACAGTTTGTAGAAATGGTTGGATTTGTAGACGTTTCTGATACGAACGCCGAGTCGGCCATCGACCAAATCATCACTCAAGCTCAAGACGCCTGCGTTTTGGAGCAGGTTTCCGCCATCAATTGCGCCTCCCTCACCGATTCCGTCCTCCCCACCGACCTTGAATCCCGGTTCCACAAATTCAAATCGTTTCCGGTCACTGAATCAAAGCAGCTTTCGAAGACCTCTGTTTCTTCTCCTTCTAATTCTTCAGATTCTTTAGAGGAAGGTTCAATATCTTCGCTGTTCAAACAAAAATTGGGTTCGAAACAAAAATCAAAAAGTGGGTCGCAGTCTTCTCCTGGGAGCAGGTGCAAGAGATCTCGATGATTTGGTCACAAATGGGGGAGGACTGGAAAAGGACCGAGGGCTTGAGTCTGGCAGGTTAGGGAGGGAGAAAGAGTTTTTTTTTTTTAAGGCCAAACCGTGTGAACCGCCCAACTGGTTTTTTCCGGTTTAACACCGGTTTTTACCGGTTGGACTGGTTCCCCACCGGTTCAAACCGCCTCCAGTTTTTTCTCCAAACCAGACCGGACTGGTGACCGGTTCACCGGTTTTCCGGTTGAACTGGCCGGTCCGGTCCGGTTTTTTTTACCTTGCGTTTTATCAATTTGGGGGCATTGATTTGAATTTTCAATATTTTAAGCGCATTTCATGGTCTCTTTTATTTTTTGTGGTAATTAACCTTTATTTTGCAATAGTTTTTCCAACTTTCAAAACTCACTGATTTTACAACAGTGGCATCCTTGATATCACGGAGGTTTGGCTCCATGTTGTTATCACCTTCTGGTTCAACTGGAGGCAGTAATAATTTTTATCTTCCTCTTGGTTCTATTGCTTCTTCGTTTCTATCAATCACCAATGCTCATCGGAAGCCCTACTTCCCAAGATCCACTTCCGCTGCGACCTCCTCCAAAAGATTGGCGAACAAGCCCACGTTTTCGGCGGCGAAAGGTTTTCCTTCAAAATCTAAAAGACCATGACGAAACTCGATTCCCCAGCCAAAGCGAGGCTAACTCGCTCTTTATAAAGTCGGTGCAGAACATGGAGGGTTTGAAAAACGCACTGGCAATTCTGAGCGTGGTTCAGATAAACCCTGGAGCTTGGATTGCTTACGTAGCCCAACCATTTTATTATCCCAGCGTTTTAGTGCAGAGCTCTGGATCATCAGCGATCCAAGTTTTGATGGTTCTCATAATCCGCCGTATTTATAAGAAAATAAGCTCTTTCCATGTGAAATCACAAGACGACACCTTGAGGGTTTTCGTAGGGTTTGTTTTCGCTTCTGGGACAGTTTGTGTAGGAACCGTCCTTCTGAATCTGCTTTACTGGGGTCCCTCTTTCTGGGTCATTAAGAAATTGTTAGGGTTTTCAAGTAGTGGTAGTAAAAGTGTTGAGATTTTTACGCTCACTATGATGACACTTCCATTTCCATTGTTGTCTTTGGTTTCAGTACTGAGGATGGGGTCAGTGGTGGGGAGGCCATTGCCAGGATTGACGGAGGGATGGTCATGGTCGGACAGGATAGAGCTTGTGAAGGCCCTCAGTTTTGTTTTACAAGGATCAAAGAGGGCATGCTACGGGGCACTTGGATTATCCACCACCTTGTGACTTAATTATGGAATTGTTCTTAGTTACTATACATAATATTTTTTGAAGCCTTTGATTAATTTTCTGGATTTAGAATTCATGCATGCACATTGTTTATATATGAAGGTAAAATGTAGGTCTTTTTTTTAATTTTTGGTTGGTTTTATAATTAGAGTGCTTAATATTATCAACAAGTTGTTTGTTGAAATGGTAAGCTATTTTACCCATGTAAAAAAGAGAACACAAGTTTGAATCAAAAGCGCACTTCCTGAAAAAGGTTTTAGTTAACCTTAATGCTTTTGGCCAAAGTGACTTGAGGTAGGTGATTGGTGAGTATAATCAGGTTGGTCTTTTAAAGCATGCTTCGAGATAGCAAGGGAATTTGGAAAGACATGGATTGCAAAATTAAGGAAGAGCCTCATTAATGTTAAAACATTCCAATTATAAAAAGGGTGATGAAACTAAACAAGAAAAATATATAAGAGATCATTCTTCATTCGAGCTTAATTTTGTGCCTTCTGAACATCCTTGTTGTAATCTCAATATCTGAGTGCTTAGAATATTCTCAGTACCTATATGTCTAGTTCATTAAGAGAAAAATCTAGCAAATTGTATTATATATTTGCTGTCTAAGTTTTGGGTGAGATGGCCAAAAAATCCTAGAAAATTAGTTTTGAGCGAACTGGATATAGGTTAAGGAAAATTAGCTTATCTTAACGGAAAATTTTATTAGGTATGTTTTTTTCAAGAGGACTGGATATAGGTTAAGGAACTAATTAAGGATGATTCTTGCCGTGTTTGACTTTTATACATCCTCCTTTAGCTCTTGTTTATCAATTAATTATATACTCTTGTTCTAAATATAAAACCTATTTTATGGTATAAATTACACTATAAAATGAGTCTTGTATTTAATTAGGACCGGAGGAGCATTTTCTTAGACAAATTCATCTCACAGTATACAAACACTTTCATCTTCCTAGCAAAGAAAATGTAAATTGTGATGACCGACTGATAAATTCTCATACTGAGATTTGTAAAAATTGACACCCTTTAAGCCCTAAATAATAAATAATCCTAGAGAACGTGAATTTACAACAGTTTGGTCCTTTATCAGCATAATCCCCCTAAAACAAGGGTATCAGCTAGCTATTCCTATGTTGATTTTCTTTTTGGCCAATCTTTGTTGAGGTTCAATGGCGCTCCAGTTTCAAAAATAATGAATTTTACCTTTATTTGCTTTAGAAGAATTTCAATAAATTGAAGCACTACTAAAGAAGACACATAGTTGCAAATCGAACTCAAAACGTTTTTAAACTTTTACTATGGGACCAAGGAACTGATTTCATATTAGCAATAATTCCAATTAAATCCAACTGAAATATCAAAATTCAAATCTAAGCCTACGGTTTTAGCAAATTCTTAGTCAGGCCAAGAAGCATAATTAGAAACTTCTTAATGTTGTTAAAAAAAGAGGAAAATTGAAGGTAGGTATAGGCCTTTTAATTTCTTCCAAGCGGGTTTGGAAGCTCTGAAATTAAACTTGCTATTCTTGATCCTCTTTCGCATCTACTCAGCTACGTCGCTCCAGAATCCCCGCTATATTCCTCTGATTTGACAGAGCATCCGGATCCGGGATTTGGAGAGAAATAGAAGAAAGTAAGAATGATATATAGAACTGAAGTCGTGAAATGAATTTGCAGCAAGTTTTCCTGACCTTGGAACCAGTTAGAGGGCCCTAAGTTCATTCATGTTGATCATGGGATTAGCAAAGTCTGCTAAGTTCTGACTAAGGAATCTAAGGAGCCTCTATTGAGGAGTACAATTAGTCAATTACCAATTTATTAATCACTTTAGGTAAGTTTCATTTCATCAAGTTATGGTTTAAGTCAGGCACTTCTACTGGGGATCTAAATTCTCTGTGGACTGTACTGCGCCTGATTTAATCCATCAATATCATAGCTTTCCACTTGTTTCATTATTTGAATAATTAGAATGTTGTTTTTAATGTTGTTAATGTGGGTATAGGTGAAGAAAGTATGGCTTCATTTGGTTCAAGATCGATCATAGCTTTAAAAAGGAGAAAAGTTGGTTAGACTCAAGATCCTCCATATCTATAAATTATCTGTAGATTAAACTTGAAACTATTGTATTTAGATTTAGATTTATACTTGAAACTAATTAAAACGTCACACACTGCACACACACACACACACTCTCTCTCCAATAAGAAAGAAAGATACAGAAATAATAGTTTCTGTAAATTATGATCTGTCTGCAGATGAGAAGCCACACTCGTACGTGCACCTCAATCACAGGTTGGTTTAGCATCGAAGTTGCTGAGGCAGATGGCAAAAGCTTGAAATGCTGAGAGTGGATAACAGTAATCCATAACAAACACGTCTTCTCCAATCTTAGCAAATTCCAAGATTACCTTTTCTTCTTGTTCTTGTTCATGTTCGTGTTCTTCATCATCAGCAGCAGAAACGAGCTGGAAATTATCAGATGCCAAGGTATCATGATGTCTGAAGTTGAGGTGCCAATGCTGGCATTGTTCATCCCATATGGGATCCTTGCTTTTAAGTTCCATCGTCATAGAGTTCTTCATCATCATCATGATGCTACAGCTCATTTTTCTTGGACCTTTGGTTCTGTGAACTCTGCATTTGTGAATCATGTTGATCTTGTATGTAATACTGCCAACGTTGTAGTACTTACATCGAGACAATTTATGATTCAATTGACTGTTGTTGTTGGAATGTGGAGGTTGAGTGTCATATATAGTGAACTTGTAATCCAAGAAATTAGCCCTGTCATCAAGAGTTCATATAGGCAAGTTCATTATTAAGGGGGGAAAAAAAGAAGTTGCCAGTGGCTGCTTGATGCCATAATCGCACCAAATCCTATAGAAGGATTTAGGAGCTGAATTCTTCTCTTTTCAATCCTTAATATAATACTACTTCCAATCCTTAATATAAGAGCTAGTTTGACCTTTATTTTGGTTCTAAATATAGGACTCTAATCTACTTAATTTCTCATATTTATCTATTTTTTTCAAAGTAGGTCTTGTGATAATAATAGTTTCAGCTAATATACCTGATTAGCAAGGATATTTTAAGAAAAATAACACATATTTATTATAAAGAACTAATTCAACAAACTTCTTTAATCTATTCAAATTAGTCAACTAGCTCTTATTTTAAGGACCAGGAGTATTATGAGAGTTGGATAATTAATTTGTCGATATTGAAAATTTAAAAAAATGTGAGTGAAGTTTCTTTAAAGAAGAGAGAAACTTGCCTGAGTTTGCCAACATATGTCTTGCTGGTCCGACGAAAGTCATCAGCAACTAATGATATGACATATTTTGTATTTCTTATCCTTTGTTTTCTTTTGGCAGCCAGCAACAACTTGTCATTCTTATTCTCTGCTGTTGTAATTCAAAAAAACATAAGCAAGCTCTTTAATATATCATTGGGTCTTTCCAAGAATTTGTTCAATCCAATTTAAATAAAATGAATCGACATTAAAATACATTATATTTAATGTTAAAGTTAAGTTTGAAAATGTAAAATAAAATATTAAAGATTCAGCATGTTTCTTTCATAATTATGAAGAGCTTAAGCTTCCAATTTTTTAGTGATTAAGATTAATTTTTGTAATGAACCTAAAAATCAATTAAAATTTATTTATTGCTTTTGCCATCCAAAGAAATGATGATGATAATCAACTCCTAATGGAATACATGCATTAACATAATGAAATGGCTGTAATTATACTTACATGGCTCTGAACCCAAGTACAGCAAATAAATAGAAGTTTCTCTCTTCCTTTTAATATAGCATTGGATTGGAGAATCTCGTGGCCCTGGCTGATCACAGGCATAAATAAAAAAAAGATGATGATGATGAACAAGAAGAAGATAAGGAGGCTATGTTTGTTGCAGATTCTACAAAAGAAAAATCATTAAGGAAATTTTGTGTTCAATCGACCCAAGTTTTATCCTATTAGGTGGACAAGTCTATATGGATTCCACATGCCATTATGACCCAAAAGGTTTCTCTCAATAACTTCATTATATTCACTTAACCACAAAGTGATGATTGCCTTGAAAATTTTTTGAGAGAGGTCAGCTCTCCTATTGATAATCTCTTTCCTGTTTTCTATTTCTGGTTCATGATAACAACAATACATACTCCTTTGCTCCTGAATGAATGTAAGACTTAATTAAATAGTTTGAATAGATTAAGAATGTTAGTTAAATTAATTAATATGATATATTTTTTCAAAAATATCTTAAGTATCTTTCTTAATTCTCTCCCTCTGTTTCCTACTTGATCAAGTTAGGAAAATATCAATAGGGTTAATTTAGAAAAAAAATTGATAATCATATGAAATAGTTCTTACATATATATGACCAACATCAATTCCCTAATGAGGTCATACATCAAGGACCAGAGGAGTATTAATTAAAAGCATCTGCGGACAGAGAGAAGTTGAAGATAATTACTTGCTTCAATGAGGTGGGAAATATGAGTCGTCCAGATAGCTCAGGAGTCTTAACAATGTCCTTTGTGATTGCTCTCCATGACTTGCAAACGGAAGCACAAGAGAGAATAACACGTTCAGGCCAACATGTCTCAGTCTCTTCCAATCTCCTTATTATGTCCCAAAGCAATTCTGGAGGCAGATTTTCCCATCTTCCACTTTGTTCTTTGTCATCATCAAGCACACCATTTCTCAATAATGACATGATTGCTCAACATAACATCATAATATTAATGTTTCACCCACCATAATAATCATCATCAATCATACCTAAGCCTGTAACCCCAAAAAACAAACATAAAATACTGGCTTTTTGTTCTTTTTTGGCTAACATGAAAAAGGAAAAAACAGCCTAACGTTTTAATCTCATCCTTAATTAGCAGTAAGATTTCATGTCAAGCTGTTAATGAGAAATGTTGTCTATTTGGAATTGGGGCAGTACATCAAAATATGACCTTTTTGCAAATTAGACAAGCTTTATCACTCCAGTTATGATTTTTTTTTTGGGGGTACCTGCCAGTCTGTTTAGATAAATATAAAGCGGGGTTGTTTTATGTACATGTCTAAATAAGAAAGAGGTGTATAGTTTGTCTTTCAATTTTCAAGCACGTATGTAATTAGTTGTGATTGATCAAATAGAGGAATGTGAAAAGTAAATATTTCCTCTCGTCTTTAATATAAGATTTAGTTTATAATTCAAATTAAACTACAAACTAGATCTTATATTAATGAGTGGAGGTAATAGAAACTTACAGTTTACAGAATATGCTGAGTTCATTGATCTCAAAACGAACCAAAAACCAGAAGCTCTCACTAAGAATTTAATGCAGTGAAAAAATGTAAACCGAACCTTATGAGATAAAGTTAACCAATCTGTAGATAGAACTGAGTAGTGAAAGGAGATTGATCATGGCAAAATATTGAGAAACATCGAAAGAGGAAATCTTTTCTTTGTTACTCAAATTTATTTGTTTCATAATCTGTCTCGTTGACAGAATCAGAACTATAATTTTTGCTATTCTTGGAGTTTGTTATTTGCTCTCTGATTTGGTTGCCAAATCTCTAGGAATCACTTTATCTGCTAGTTAGTTCCTATTTTTTCTGCATTTGAACAATTCGAATGATAAAATTTTTGCCTGCCATCAAATCTTTATTACCCAACGCCAAAAGGCTTAATATTTAATTCATATTTGATCTATTGTTTATTACATAATATTTCACATTCGTCTCATGGGAATTTCAATATTGTCCAAATCAAAAAGGTTTTCTTTTTAATCCTCTATTTAACTAATTTGATTAGATTAAGAAAGTTAGGTAAGTTAGTTCATTATAAAAAATATAACATATTTTTTTTAAAACACCATAATCATTTTTTTTTAATATTCTCACTCTCTCTCCTATTTGATTACGGTTAAGAGACCTATGATAAATATAAGAAATAAGTCTTATATATAGGATTAAGATCAATTCAATAACTACATCATATATTAAGGATCGGAGGAATTTTTTTTTTAATTTTTAATTTTTTTTATTGGAATGTGAAATATCAAAGCTATTTATTGAATAATATTGATTGTTTTTTAACCGCGGGTACGGAGGGAAAATGGGTTGATTCTCCACAATGTTGGGTTACAAAAAAAAAATATTTATCTTTCTTTTTTCCTTTTACGTCACTTTTAATCTTTTTTGAACATGTCTGCGTTTGTGCATTATGTATTTTTTTATATCATGTAGTAACAATATAAAAATGTACTAAAAATCATTATAAACGGGTCTTATTGACGGAGGCTTCTTGTAATAATGGTCAAACTGAAAAAAAAAGGAACATTGGGAAACTTGTTCAGAATAAGAATCTCCACCACTTATGGAACAATGTGTTTTGTTAGGGAAAAAAAAGTAGTTGTGCTTTTTAATTTTAACATTCAGCTTAAAACCTAGATAATTTTAACATGGCCGAGGGCTTATTAAGGCCACATACTTTTAGGCTCATAAAACGCTAACAATGGTACTTACAAATTACTTACCAACAAAGCTCTCATATTTCAAACTCATTATCTTGTGAGTTATGATTAGACTTATTATCAACTGGACCAATTCTTGTTGGTAGTGTTAAGAGACTTAAATAATATCCTTATTAACTAACAAAACTTGCTATAGTTGGTAGATGATTAAGTCCCTCAAACATGATATATTGAGTTTGAATCAAGCTGTATGCATAACCACTGAAGCACTGAGCCATTGACTCATTGATCCAATGTCATTTTAAAGAAAAAATTGATAAATTACGTGCAATCAATGTCAATATTTCAAGTAAAAATCATAAGTATGGAAAATAAATTGAATTGAGATTTTATATTTAAAATATAGTTATTCCTCTAAAACTCTTGTTTTGGTGAAAGGAGTAGAGTATTATTTTTTCTTTTTGGGCATGCTTCTCCACATATAAATAATTCATTCATCTTTTTCCAAAGCAATTAATAAGAATGATCTTTTTTTTTTTTGTTGCCAACCAATAAGAATGAATGAATGATCTCTACAAAGCAAGAGGTAAGTAATTTTGAACGCAAAACATTAGTATTCTATGTTCCTTTTCCTTTAAGTTAAAAAATGATTTTTATATTATCCCAAAAAAAATAATTCTCTTTGAAATTTTTATGAATAAGGGTGTGTTTGGATTAGTGGTGGAGAAGTAGCTTTTTTTTTCAATCTGACTTTTGCAGAAGTCAGATTGAGTAAAAGTCAGACAGGGTGATGTGATTTATGTTTGGATTGGGTTTTCAAAAAAGTCAGTTTGAGAGGTTAAAACTTGTTTGGATGATAAAAGTAAAAGTAAGTTTACATGTAAAATGACTTAAAAGGACATGAATTTTATTAAATAATATATATCTCATATTAATTTGACTATTTTTTAAGAATTAAGGAAGAGAAAATTATTAAAAATAAAGAAATTTAATTTATTATTAGAAAGAAATTATATATATAATGTGACCATTTTAAATGAAGTATTAAAAATTAAATAATTTAAAAAAAATTTAAGTTATATTAGAAAGAAATTGAAAAATAATAAAATACTTAATTAAATATATGTAATGGATAAATATATAAATTAGAAATCATACAAACATAGTATTTTTACACACGATACATCAAATAATTAATTAGATGCCATACATCAAATAACTAAAAAGCAACACGGACTTGCAGTCGTGAGCGAGGCTTCAGATCGTGTGTTGTGTGTTGTGTAAAGCCGAACTCTCTTTAATATTGAGCTGAGAGAAAATAAACATGCAGCAGGTTGGTAATAAAATTTAAGATTGGTAATAAATATGTAACCGTTTTTTCCCTCAACGCCATCGTGCTCCAGAAAAAAGCCCTTGCATTGAGCTTCTGCCAGAAGTCCATCAGAGCTTAAGAAGTCAGATTGTGTAGATGTGGATCCAAACAAGCCCATGTGGAGAAGTTCAGTGGAAAAGCTCGTTTGGCCACGTTTGGAAGCCCAAACATGATGCCAAACGAGCCCTAAGTAACTTTGTGATTGGTGATAAGGAAACCCTTGACCACTGACACGTTCAAAACACTCATACGATCATCGTATCCTTTGGTTTTTTTTCCCCCCGACCAGCGATCATCATATTCTTTAGTTGATCCATATATATTGTTTACATTATATAAAATAAATAATCAAGCATGTTTAATAATGCTTTTCTTAGATGAAAATATGACTAAATAAAATTTTTGTCCAAAAATGATGTATAAAAAATGTTGGTCAAAATTTGTAAGAAAATACCTAGTCAAGTTCTTTATATATCCATTATATCAAGTTTTTAAATTACATATAGTCATGCATCCTATTCTTTTTACATGAGTTTATAATTAAATGATAATATTTTAAAAATAAGATACATTATCATATATGGTTAAAAAACTTTAACATAATAATTAGATATAAGAAACTTGATATAAGTATTGTTAATTCTCTCTCTTCACTAAAACTTTGTGAATATTCTTAGACCCTTGCATTTGTCCAATTTTCATACCTTTTATGCGGCTTAACACTCTACCAAATTACCAACACAACAAATTAAAAATTAAGGAGTTAAACTAAAATTAAAAAAAAAGAATAACCCAAATTAAATTAATTGCATGCAAGTTCTTTAATTTATATCAGATGGTACTTAAAAAACAGACTCTTGCACATAATTTTTATATAAATTATTAAATTAAATTTTATATTATAATTATACTCATATTCGTAATATTTATAAAAATTCATAGTATAATGACACTGAGATCTAAATAGAGGAATGTAATAAAAAAAAATCTCATAATAAATAAGGGAGTAGCACAAACATGTCCTCATATTTTTGCATCGAAATTTATTATTGATGCTGTTAACTTTTTCTGAAAATTTTTGGAAAAATTCTATAAAAAAAACCTCTAAAATTTTAAAATTCCAAAGCAAGAATGACTACAAAAATACGTTGTGATTTATTTTTTAAATGTTGTCAATTATTATCAAAGTAAAGTCAATAAGACTAATTTGAAAATTTAAAATTTAAAGATATTTTTTTGGGATTCTTCTAAACTTCTTTTTTAGTGAATACATTGTTTTTCTAAAATTTTATAATGATTTTCCTTATAAATAATATATGAATCATATGACAGATACATCTAACTATGAAGATGACCATTATCCCAACACCTCTCTACTCTTGAGGATTATTTTCTAAGTATGAGGTCAGGAGCTTGACCATCAATAAAAATGATGAGTGTGCCAAAATTTGTCGTGCAATGTCATTTTGCCTTCAAATTAATGTTAGACTAGCCCTATAGTATGGAGATTAATCTAATGGGATGTTTGGATGGAAACTAAACTATAATTTTAAAAGTGATTTATGATATGCAAAATAAATACTACCTCCGGTCCTAATTATAAGAGCCAGTTGACTAATTTGAGGAAATTAAGGAAGTAAGTTGAGTTAGTTATTTATCTTAAATAGATGTTGTCTTTCCTAAAATATCCTTACTAATCAAGTGTATTAACTACAACCATCATTGTTAGAAGGGCTATTTTGGAAAAAAATGTATAAATATGAGAGACAAAGTGGACTAGGGTCTTATATTTAGGACCAAAATAAAAATTAAATAGGGTCTTATATTAAGGACCGGAAGTAGTATATTATAAGAAAATTTTCATCTTGACTTACGTGAAAATACTTTTTACAAATATTTTAGGAATAAACCAAACTCTCCTAAATCTTTTTTGCGAATGGAATTTAATTTAAACAACTAATTAAACCTTAAATAAATTTGGACAGTGCAACACAAATATCCTATCGGTTGAAAAAAAGTTGATTAATACTACTATTACTCTTAATATAAGGGCCGAAAATTTTAATTTAATTTTAAATATAATGTTTTAATTTATTTTATTTCTATTATTTATTAATTTCTTTCTAAATAAGTCTTATAATAATTACATATGACAAGAGGTTTTATTACGGAATGATTTTAATGCACATGATTAATAAGAGTATTTTTAAAAAAATAATACTAGTAGTTATTTATTACACCAAAGGAATTTAACTAATTTTTTTCGATCGTTCGTAAATTAATTCTCTAGCTTTGCAGGCAATATCCCACAACTACTAAAAGACAATTAATTTGATACCAATCCAAGAGTACGAGCGTTAGGCCGGATGCAATTAACAGTTGAATAAAAACAGCTGTTCGTAAAATTCTCCGATGGATCAATCTCTAGTCTTCGATCCACAATGTTAGTCGGTTCGAGTGTTTGACTAGCAGTATCAGGTTATCCGCTAGTCATTTTTCTTCCTTATTTTTCTTTTGGTATTCCATCTTTCTTCCTTTTTATTCGAAGAATCCGCTGACCTTTCCGGTTTCCCGGCCTCTATCGTTTCCATAAATCTAGAGAGGATTAGCGTATCTATCACCAGAATCGACGCAGGTACCTCGTAATTCTCGTGATCTTGTAGTGTTTTTTATTCTTCGGTATTTTTCTGGCTGTTCCTTAGCTCCGAACAGATGCGTCTTGTGTGATTCTTAGTTGATTTTTTTTTTTGCAGTGTTTTTTATTCTGGGTTTTTGTGAGATCGGATGGAAGAAAGGAAGCAATCGCGTTACGTGAAACTCTCTAAAGATCAGGCGCCTCTGCAGGATATCCAGCCCGGCGAACTTAATCAGCCAATTGAGGTTCCTCAGGTTTGACTTATTCGGACTTTCTTTGAGCTCATTTGCTGTGGCGGTCTGCCCCAGATCCATTTTGTTGTTGATATCTTCCGATGGTGCTATAGGTTTTGATTCGGGTATTTATATTGAAGAATTCGACTTGACGCCTTTTTACGAATTGAAATAGTTGCCGTATGATTTAATTTTACGATTATACCTAAGGCCTACTTATTTGCTTGTTAGGTCAGAAAACTATGTTAAAGAGTGTTTTCGAGTGCGTTATAGGATCTTTATTAATTAGTAAGTTCTTGAGTTGTTGGGGGAATGGCAATGTGGCTAATAAGTTTAAGCTACCGTGTTTAGAATCGTTTGCATTCCTCTTATATGGAGAAGCCGGTTGATTTTGAGGCCGGGATAAAGCAGTGACTGACCGATCCCCATTACCTGCTGATAAAATTTATTTTGTTAATAAGATCAAGGGTGGCATTTACCACATTAGAGACTGCTTGTTCTAAAAGGCTCTATCAAGATGGAGAAATTAGTGGAAAGGAAGTGAACAATTGACTTTGCCATATTTGTACGTGTTTAAGTACGGAAAGTTTTGGGATATCGTTGTATTATAACTTTATAATTGGAAACCCTGCATATTTATAGAATTGACAAGTCAACCCTGGTATAATCACACACTTTTAAAACTATTGGCTCTTATAGTTGGAGATGGTAATACCTGACTTGTCTAAGAAGGACGCTTCTTTAAATCGTAGCCACTGCAGAAGACAAATGAAGAAAAGTTATACTGGAAAAAAAAAAAAAGCTGGGATATGATAATTATGAGTCTTTACTACGTAATTCTTTTTTGTATATAACATTTTTAGGTTTAAAGTATCATGTCTCTTTTATCATTGGCTCATAACCTGAATTTGTCTCATTGGCATTGGAGAAAAGCAGAAATTAATGTTCTAAGTTAATTTCTGTGAGATTGTTTAAAAGTTTGAAGTTGCTAAGTTCATAGATCTGGGTATGTAGAGTGATACAGGTATTGGTGTTATTTTCAGCTTTCAGTTGGTATTGATCAATGATTGGGTAATTACGTTTTCATGGGTGGAGTCCCCCTGCCTAGGGGGCTTGAAATAGATGCCAATGCTTATTTGGCTACTATCTTGATACAGCATGAGATGATGGTGTTTACAACTTACAAGATTCAGTTAACAGTAGGAAAGGAACAATGGCCGTGGATATTATACGTGCTTACCGGAATCAGATATTTTATACTCATTCAAAATAAATAAAGTTCAAGGAATAGTTTTCATGTGTGAGGCAATGCAATATCAAACCATCAGACAAATGTTGCATGTTCTTCATAATGACTAACAAATATATGATAATTTGTTTCTTTCTCCCAACTTTTCAGTTGGCTGTTCGCAAATGCAGTGAATGCGGACAGGAGCTACCCGAAAGCTACTCACCTCCTGCAGATGAACCTTGGACAACGGGGATCTTTGGATGTGCTGAAGATAGAGAAAGTTGTAAGTTAATATTGTAGGGCCTATAAGGGCTGGCTAGCTGACAGCTGTAATCAATAACTTAAAGCATGTGGATATTATCAATTTTTGGTTGGTGAGAATTGTTTTTGACCTTTTTGGTTAGTGAGATTAAACATTTAGGAAGAATTGAACACTTTTAGACTTAATGGTAGTTGCATTTTATCAGCTAGATCACTATGACTAGGAGCAAGCTCTGTTATCTGTGTTGCTTGAAATAATACATGAAATATGTCTTTTGAGATTGGCAATTTTATTGTGATTCTCTTCAATATACTTTACTTACTAATTGCTGTTGGGATTTATGCTTCAGTTATAGTGCATGGTTATAGTGCTTTGATTCAACATGGAATTTATTGTTTCTGGACACTGATCCTCCATTGCAGGCTTAACAGGACTGTTTTGTCCTTGCGTATTATTTGGGCGCAATGTGGAAAGCTTGAGGGACGACACTCCTTGGAATAAGCCATGCGTTTGTCACGCTATTTTTGTTGAAGGTGGCATTGCTCTAGCAGCAGCGACTGCAATTTTTCATGGTATTGAACCTGGGACAGCATTTCTCATCGGCGAGGGTTTACTTTTTACTTGGTGGATGTGCGGGATTTACACTGGTCTGGTTCGGCAATCCCTACAGAAGAAATATCACCTAAAGGTACATGTTCTACTTCATCTTCTATCAAGCAAAGCATTTAATCCATATGCTGCTTCTGCTTAATCTCCCAGACAACGTTCACATTAGCGTATGGGTTTAGGGCCTTCTTGGCTGTGGGGTTGATGAGGATCTCAAGGAGGCTTCAGTTTTTTTTTCCCAATTGACTTTCATGGTCCCCCCCCCCCCCCCAAGAATGAAAATCTTGTTTTGTTATTGATTTTGCCTACATATATATAACTTTTATGGATGTAGAACTCGCCGTGCGACCCATGTTGTGTCCACTGCTGCTTGCACTGGTGTGCCTTATGTCAGGAGCACAGGGAGATGAAGGTACGGCTCACCGATGTCGCTGTGCCGATGACTGTGGTGAACCCGCCTCCAGTTCAACAGATGAGGTCCACAGACGATGACAAGGAAAATTCAGAAGCAACTTCTGCTGACAAAAACAATGAGCATACCCATTTGGAAATGCAGCCTATTTAGGATATACCATTTGTTTATAGTCTAAAGAATAGCATGCTTGTATGAAATTTTACACCATAGAGAAACCCCTTTCCCCTGAGATTGAGTTGTTGCTCTGGACATGTTGATTACTTGCACAGAATTCCTTTGAGAGCCAAATTTTTCTTTCTTATCTGCCTGATTGAGCTGTTGATCCTAACTTTTCTATCTCTGTTTATTAATGAATCTTTTTTTGAGCGCCATCAAGGCATTGATGTATTTTGCACCATTTGGTTGAAATGGTGAGAAAGTTGGATGAAAAATTATACAAGGAAGCGACACTTTGGCTGCGTGGGGTCGATGCATTACAACGATTTATTTATTTATTTTTTAATTATACAAAAAGATATGTGATATCTATTACTACCTCCTGTCCTTAATATAGGATCTCGTTTAATTTTTATTTTGGTCTTAAATATAAGACTCTAATTCACTTTGTCCCTAATATTTATGTATTTTTTTTCAAGATAGTCTTTGTAACAATAATAGTTCTAGTCAATACACTTGATTAGTAAGGATATTTTAGGAAAGACATAACCTATTTATGACAAATAGCTAACTTAACTTCTTTCTTTACTCTCTTCAAATTAGTTAACTAGCTCTTATAATTAGGATTGGAGGCAGTACGTTTTATCATTATTATTTACAAAGAATTATACTTTATTATAATTTTCTATCAGTACAAGAAAAACTTTTTTATTCATATATTTAATGTTCCACTCTGAGTGTGAAATCACTCCTGAAGAATTTATAATTTATAAAATTGATGAATAAAGATTCCCAAAAATTAAAGTCTTCATAAAACTTACAAAAATAAGATATTCTAAGTGCTTTTAAAATTCTATTTTCTCGATATTAATTTAAAATTATAATTTATATATGTTTGAAAGTTGCAATTTTGTCTTGGTAATGCTGTGAGAATATTTTTAACCAATCTTATATACTCTTAATTTATCTTCTCAAGATCTCTGACATATAGATTTAATTCATTTATCCGAGACTAAATATTTCGACAGAAAAAGTACTAGAATTATTTTTCCAATGCTAATATATATTTTGAGAAAATATAAAAACATTTGTATATTTATATATATTCTTTGTAAAAGATCAAACGATATTAAAGTAAGAGGAACCTTTCAGTTATATTACACGAGGAAAAAGAACAAAAGCAAGAAGATAAAAAAGAAGAGAGAGAGCTAACATCAACAGGTTCACAAGAGATCAAAGAAGACATTTGCATATTTTTGTAGTTTTATTAAAAGTAAGCAAATTTTATCACACACACAAAAAAAAATCTGACTAAACGCCAAGTCGTTTCCTTCTATTGTCATTACAGTGTTGCTACCCCAGGGCCTCCCTCTAGCTGATGCAGGACCAGAGGGGATGAGGAAGACCCAACTCTGAACGGAAAACTAAAACCTCTCTGCCATGGCGCTTAAAAACCTCTGCACTGTCCTGCCTTCTCTCTCTATCTCTATCCCACACCACTTTTCACTCTTCAACCCGAAATTTTCCCAATTGGACACAAAGCCTTCGCTTATAATTTGCGAATTTTCGAAGTCACAGACACAAGCATCTCGGAAACCATCATCTTCAGATGCGCATTTCACAGACTATGGGCAGGTGGAACCAGAAGGCACCGGCGCAGCGTCTCCAACACCCGGAGAGAGGCACCTTGAACATCAGATGTCCGCTGAGGCGCTGAAGTTGGTCCTCAAAGAGAACAAGAAGGAGCGGAAGAAGCAAAAGAGAGAGAAGGTTGTGATGAAAGCTTCTTTGGCGGTTGCTTGTTGTTATGGGTGTGGAGCTCCGTTGCAAACTTCGGAGATTGATGCCCCTGGTTACGTGGATTTGAAGACTTATGAATTGGTAGCTTAACCTTTTCCCCCCCCCCCCTAATTTCAATGAGCGTGTTAAATGAAGCTCTCGAATTTTTGATTCTGGTTATGGCTGGGTTTAGCTGGTTTCCACCTTTCAGGGCATCTGTCCTTCTATGTGTAGATTTGACTAAGTTTCTAGATGTTTTGATTTCTGATATTCCCCACTCCCCGGGTACGCGGGGTCTAATGGTCTTACTGAACATAATTTCAGTTTTTCACATGGAACGGAATCAAATTTGACTCATGCATTATTAAATAGATAGGATGAATCTTATATTTTGACGGGTGTTTAACTGTGATGCCACTTCTCACTAGACCAAGTGAATTTCAAATTCTTCGATGGTAAAACTCAGATTAAGTCCATTTTGGAGCTGAACTTTAAAAATGAGTTTGAAAGTTGGAAACTGCCTTCATAGGTTTCATGCAGTGGCTTTTGTTGCATTTGTCAAATACTGATTGATGGATGTTCTTTGTGGCTGAATGAGGATGGTCGGGCTTGAATTCCATAAGCTTTAATGTATATTTGAAATGAGTAATTGTTAATGAGAGTATGAATGGCATTTTTTTGGCAGAACACATCCAAGCAAGAACGAGACTGAGAAAGAGAAAAATGCAATGGAGAATTTATTTTAAAATAGTTTCTTGAAAATAATATATAGTCTTCGAAGTTGTTGCATTCACTTTTTCCATTTTTTTCAATCACAACCTTTTGGTTTATGATACACTTTTGTGTGGTCAATGTATGCATGGTAAGTGATGCAAAGTGAATTTTTATCTCAAGTTTGGCTTAAGACTTTCATAGCCGAAGTTTTGCTTTTATGCTTTCAATGTATGTGGAAAATAAAGATGTCAAGGATGAAGTTGACTTTTAGTTGTAGGGCCTGCATAGAGTTTACTTGCTGAATGCGTGTTAATTATGCAGAAGAAGAAACATCACCAGCTTAAAACCATTCTATGTGGGCGGTGCCGACTTTTGTCTCATGGACAGATGATAACTGCTGTTGGTGGACATGGAGGATATGCTGGTGGTAAACAGTTTATTATGGCTGAAGAGCTTCGAGAAAAATTGTCTCATCTACGCCATGAGAAAGCCTTAATTGTTAAATTGGTAAATCTAACTTTTGCTTTATCTGGTTTTAATTAATGTTCTTTACTACTTGTAAAGTATAACAACAGCGTCCTTTATTGAGGTACAGTTATGTAGTTCTGCAGTCTTTTTTCTCAATATAATTTGTTACTTTTAAATTATCTTTTTCTGTCCAATTAATGATAATAGCTGGAAGTGATAAAACTTCTTGATCTAATTTGTTGAAGAAATTACTTCTAGGTTGATATTGTTGACTTCAATGGCAGTTTTTTGTCTCGGGTGCGTGATCTTGCTGGTGCCAATCCAATAATACTGGTGGTGACTAAGGTAACTATCATATCCACGTGGCTGATTTTGTTTATTTGGACACATAGATCGTAAAATTGTAACTGTATATTTTGTTTGTAGATTGATCTCCTGCCGAGAGATACTGATCTTAATTGTATTGGGGATTGGGTTGTAGAAGCTGTCACCAAAAAAGGGCTAAAGTAAGTTTCATTTTATTATTAATATTCTCCATGATAAATTATAAACTTTGAATTAATTAATTTGTGTTCTTTTGATTGACTGTAATATCATTACATGAATTCAGTTGAAAATGTTATTAAGTGTCACTTGAAATAAGTGCTATTCTTGTTGTAATGTGAGAAGTTAATTGGAGGAGTTTAACTATTTTTTGCAGTGTTCTCAGTGTTCATCTCACCAGTTCTAAATCATTAGTTGGAATAACTGGAGTGGTATCGGAAATCCAGAAAGAAAAGAAGGTACCTTTGACCTGATAACATTAGTTAGAAAAACCGAGTGGCCCTTTCAGAAAATCTGATGAGATGCAACCATTCAATTTTATATTGAAGATGACATAAATTATGTGTTTTGAAAAACGTGGTAGATGTTTTATGCTGTGGTGTGGATTGCCAAATGTTATGTTATTTATATTAACTGTGTCACATTTTTCATCATAATCTGAAATGCCTTCATTTATGTGATATGTAATATGTTTTATAAGGCATGATGCTTCCCTTTTAGTTACTATGTATTGCCTGATGTGAAAAATTGATATTCTGACGCTTGAAATTTTCTTGCACGATTATTTTTTTTTTTTGGGGGGGGGGGTTTTGATGGATAATGTCCAAAATTCCTATCCTAATTATCATAAATTTCCAATCCATGCAGAGATGATGCATTCCAAAATCCTAACATTCACATATGCCATCATCTATATTCATGAAAATGGGAACTGTTAACTTTGACTTTTCTTATCTTTTTCTCTAATGAAATTCTATATATTTTAATTTTTGCAGGGACGTGATGTGTACATACTGGTAAGCCTCTGAATTGGAAGCTTCACATGTTTTACGAAGGTTGTTATTGTAGCATGACATGATGTTCCTATGCAAAATCGTTTATATGGGATTTGGAAATTGATCTTTTGATTCATCTTCTTGAACCTTTTTTTCCTCTCCTATAGAGCTAGTAACAATTATTTGGGATTAGAAATATTGAAGTATCTCTTTACTGGCTTCTGATCAATATGTATATTTCAAACTTCAAATAAAGTTTGTCTGATCATGCCTTAAGATTTGAATAACAAATTTTTCTACAAACATGATATTCGCATAACTGTATGAGCGCATATTTTCTTGTTTGCATTCAATTATTTTCCACACTATGCATATGCATATCTGTTTATCTTCTATTTGTTGAGTTGTGGGCTCAACTGTACAAAATATGCAGCAATTGAACCTGGTACCTTAAAATGCTGAATTTGAGGAGATAAGCTTAGCAGGAAAATTTAAAAATGCCACTCTAGAATGATTATTTTCACTGATTTATCATAAAGTCTTATATTACCCTGGGGATAATGTACTGAGGTCTTTTTATTTTTGTATATTTGCTTTTGGTTTATTACCCTGACTTCACTGAAATTCTATTTATTTATTTATCTATTTCTTTCACACTTCTTATAGGGGTCAGCTAATGTTGGGAAATCTGCATTCATTAACGCTTTACTGAGTAAGTTAGTTATACTTCCGTGCATCATAAATACTAGCATTGAATTTATTCATCATCTAGCAATTTGGTTGTTTATCTATAGCATGATTCAAAATTTTCTCTGAATAAATGATGTTTTTTTATGCTTCTTTTTTGCCAGTTGTTTTGTAAATTTAGATGCTTTTTTCATTACGTAAGCCCATGTTATTTAATATTAATTTTTGCTCACTGTTTGCATTGTGGTAAAGACATTCACTTTCCTCTGAAATACTGAGCCCACCAGCCTTAGCCTTGTTCACGTGGTTACTGACAGGTTGTAAACCTTGTATAACAGATAACCCAGAAGAGGATTATGTTATAAGTACAATAGGTTTTCTTCAATACGTCATTTTGTGTGGTTCAAGCAGGTTTCTGTTGAAATTATTGCCAAGAGATACATTGACTTATGCGCACACATACTGAATTAGTTTTATTTGCTCATCATTTTAGAAATCCAAGTTCTCATGTTTCTACATTGTGACATATTTGTTGTCAGAAATAATGGCAATAAAAGATCCAGTTGCTGCAGCTGCACAGAAGTACAAACCAATACAATCTGCTGTCCCTGGAACTACCCTGGGGCCAATTAAAATTAACGCCTTTCTAGGAGAGGGGGTATGCCATTCATTTTAATTTTGTATATTGTATGTCACATGATTGTTTAATATTTGAATTTTTCATGATTCTATTTCTCAATGCATGCAGAATCTATATGACACTCCTGGAGTTCATCTTCACCATAGGCAAACTGCGGTTGTTCATTCTGAAGATCTTTCCTGTCTTGCTCCTCGAAGCCGACTGAGGGGTCTATCTTTCCCGGTATGTATGTATCGCAATTGTTCAAGATGTAATATCAATAGCATACGCTAACTTTGCTCCTCATTGTTATTGTCAGAATTCTCAGGTATTCAAGGACTACGCAGGCGCAGATAATTCCAAATCAAATGGCTTAAATGGATTTTCAATATTTTGGGGAGGGCTGGTCAGAATTGATGTCTTGAAGGTTCTTACTTTGTACCCTTATTTATTTTCCTTGGATGCTGTGGAGAAACTTATCAATAATGTGCTGGGTTTTTTCTTGTCTCTTTAATTTCCTTCATCTTGATATTTTCAGGCTCTGCCCGAAACATGTTTGACGTTTTATGGGCCCAAGGGCCTTCAGATTCATATTGTGCCCACGGAGAACGCAGATGAGTTTTACCAGGTAGTGTCACCCACGCTCATTGAGACATTATTGTTTCTTAAATCTGCCCATCTTGTCTAACTTGCTAAATATTTTATGGGTTACACTTTTCTTGCGATTACGAACTGAGTGATGAAGTTGAACTTGTCTCTACAGTTCTAGTAACCAATGGATAAATCAAGCTGTTTCAGTTTTCTTTTTAAATAACGTTATAGTTGGACCATAATTCCTGAATAAAAGATGCGTGTACATGCTACTTGTTCGTATCGCGTGTGAGTTAGCAATTGCATTTTATTAGCACTACTGTCATCACTGTGTTGCATTTAAGATGGTGAAATTTCCATTTTGTTATGTCCATATATAGTTGAAAATATGTACATTCTCTGTGATGCAGATTTAATTTAACTAATTAATTATTTTTATTATTGTTTATTTTAGATCGTGGGTAATTACTCCACTCACCCCACTTCCCCACTCCCCTCATTTTATTTCTTTTATTTATTTCTTTTATTTATAGTTTAGGGTTTCAGTTTGTAATTAGACTTTGGCATTTAGAATTTATCGATCGGTTTTTCTCCCGTTCTCCCTGCTTCTCTGCTTCTCCTCCCTTCTTCTTCTCTAACTTCTCATCCCTTCCAATCCTTTCTTGTTCTACATCAATTTTGGTACCAGAGCCTGGTTTCCCTTGTGCCTTTTGATTTTTGAAACGCCCAAATACGCCCTTAGTCAAAACAACCCACGGCCGCCGCTCCTTCACCATTGTTCGCTCATTTTCTGACGACCGTTCACTGTGCCGCCACTTCCATTCTCACCGTAGGCAACAATCCGTCCAGATCTCAAAGTTTCACAACCAGAAACCACCGGAAACAGCCTCCACGAGCCAGCGTCACCGTCAGCGTCACTTTGAAGGCCCAGATCTCACTCGTCCGACCTCCGTTTGCCACGAAATCACCGCCATCGCCTTCGTCACTTCCAATCCTTTCTTGTTCTACATCACTCTGTTTTCCTCTTGCTGTCCTATTCTGCTGGCAAATCAGTTTTGCTTGTGTTGTCTTTGGGCTGCTATTAGGCGCAAGACTTCTCTTTCCTCTGTAAAAATGAAATGTTCTTTTTGTGCTGCTTTTATGTTATTGTGATGTTTCTCGAGTTCCCACCCATGTTTTGAGAGGGTCTTGCTTTACCTTCTCAGAAAGAAGTTGGAGTTCTGCTGACCCCACCAACTGGAACACTAAAGGCTGAGAACTGGAGAGGCCTTGAATCAGAACGTAATTTGCAAATAAAATTTGAAGATGCGGAGAGGTATCACTCTATCACTTACTCACCTAGTTCCATTGCGGCTGCTTTCAACACATCAGGCCTGTTTGGATTGTTAACTAGAATGGACAAGGAAGTAGAATTAAAAAGGCAATTTGTGGATAACGAATATATGTCTTTCATGTCCTTGAATAAAAATGTGTATTAAACAAGACTTTTATTGTTGAGTATAGGAAAGATATAATGGAAAGGGTGGGGGTTTTCACCGTAGAAAGGGAATTTCTTTTCTATGTTCTTGCCAAACGTAGGGCAATTGTATTTGGGCAAATTGCTCATATTTATGAATAAAGAGACATAAAAAGGTGAAATTTCTCAATTATTCCTTGGAAGCAGGCCCGCTTGTGATGTAGCTATATCTGGTCTGGGATGGTTTGCTGTTGAGCCAGTTGGCAGATCACACAGAATCTCAGAAACAATATCTGCAGAAACTTCTGGGGAATTGCATTTAGCAGTGCATGTGCCCAAACCTGTTGAGATTTTTGTGAGACCACCATTACCAGTTGGCAAGTTTGGAGCCGAGTGGTATCAATATAGGGAATTAACAGAAAAGGAAGAGGAAACCAGACCAAAATGGTTCTTTTGAATATGCTGTGTCTTCTGCCCTATGCAAATCTTATGTACGATTATTATTTGATTTAATTGTAATTAAATTTTGTTGCTATATTGTGGTTACATGATCCCAAAATAGCTTACTGTGTATAAGCCGTGTGGTAATGGTGAGGGGTGTGGGCAGTCATTCTCCAAGGGAAAAAAATATTTTAAAAAAAGAAATCATTGCAAAAGGATAAAAGGAAGGGCAGGAAAATGTGTGTGTGATCTTTTAGGTGTACCCAATATTTTAATTTTTTTAGTAGTACAATTTCACCCTTAATTTTTTAAAATTGGTGCAATCCTACCCAATGCCAGCGGATCTCTAGATGCCTGTGAACACGTTGGCGTTTTAATATTAAAAAAAAAAATTCACATCACATAAGTAATTTAATAAAAAAAAGAGAAGAAACGTGGCTTTTTCAACCAGAAGGAAACCTGTGGCATTTTCAGGCGTGAAGTGCCCCTTTTTTTGTGTGCCACTTTTCTACATATTATTTCATGAATCACGATTGAGACCAAGCGGGCTTAAGTGCTTAAACGGTAATTAGATAATTATTTAGAAACATTTTAGCAAATAAAAATAATTTCAAGGGGTTATAGGAAATGATTGACGCTTGCTGGCCAAAAAAACAAAAAAATCCACTCTTCTTTTCTTGTGAGGTGGAAGTGTATCTTTGGTCATTTAACTTTATTATATTCTGTGTTGATTTTTTTAGTTGTCATAAAGTATTTTTAGTTTTTTAATTTTAATATTATTACTTTCATTAACATAAATGTCAACCAATCTTGAATGTTTGAAAAACACTCATAAATATGGACATATTAAATTTATTTTTTTAAACATAATAATGATTGGTATAAAAAATTATCATTTGAAATTAAGGCTAAAGTGGTTTGGAAGAATCTTTTCCTTCAATTTTGGGCCTGACCAAAATATTCAAAAACAAAAAAAAGAAACAAATGCACCCTCAGTACTGTGTTAGTTAATGTTCGTTATTTGCACGAAGTAGAAAACCACCCCTCAGAAAAAAGGACACGTCGCTTGGCAGTTACAGTTGGTTTTTGTTTCAAAATCCTGAATTCAAAACCATATATATGTCCAAAAACTGCTTCCTTCTTCACCGATTAATGAACAAGTGAACCAACGGTGCTGCCTTCTTCTTCATCTTTTCTGAAACTCAAATTACCAAAACAATCATATTAACATGGCTTTCACTTCTCGTTTCCAAGATTCTCTTACCAGAACTGCACTTCGAGCCTACCTCGCTGAGTTCATCTCCACTTTCTTCTATGTCTTCGCTGTGATCGGCTCCGGCATGTCTTCCAGTGAGATTCTGTCTTTCTTTTTTCTTTCTTGTTTTGTGTTGATTAAGAAAACATGAGACACTACAGATATTTTGTCTGTGCCTTTTTATTATACCTGTTAAGTTATTATATATAGACATAGATTTCTGTCAGGAAAAAAAAAAAATGCAGATTCCTTAACATGATCGTCGTCTTCAACACCTTAGACTTTGACCGATCCATACGGTTTTCTGAGTCGTCCTTCATCATGAAAATGAAGCAGTAAAGTGAAAGAGAGGGAAAATCAAGAGATCTCATTCTTATATATAATTATACAAGTAGTTGTATCAAATCATCAAGTCTCTTTCTTAAACTAGTGGCTTCCTCATCAACAACTTGAAATTGAATGGGTAATATATATAATAATGGCAGGGAAGATGAAGGGAGAAGCAGCAACAGAGGCAGCGAATCTGGTGGTGGCAGCCATAGCCAATAGCTTTGCATTGTCCTCTGTGGTGTTCATGGCGTGGGACGTGTCAGGAGGACATGTGAACCCAGCAGTGACCTTCGCAAGGGTGGTTGGAGGCCATATGAACCTATCAACTGCTCTCTTTTATTGGATTTCTCAGATGATTGCTTCTGTCATGGCCTGCCTTCTTCTTAAGATCACCTTCGTTGGAATGGTATTTAATTACTTCATTCCCTTTTTGTTTTCATAATTTAGACAGTCTTGCCTAAAGATGAAGAGAAAATTACAGAGATCTCTATTGAGTTCGGGGACTTACAAAATCTTCTTTTTTCTTTTTGAGAAAAAGAGAATTTATTACATGAATTTTTTTTTGGCAGAGTTGCTTTCAAATTGCACGTATTTTTAGGGCATGTCTGTAAAGTTCTGAAAATTCTTTAGATATTTAGCATTATTTTGAATATAAAAATGAAGGTTAATGTTATCTTGCCAGATTTCAAGGACACTTTATATTGATTTGATTTTAAAAAAAAAATTTATAACTTCAATTTACCCTTTTTTTTTTTTGCATGTCTGGTTTTGCGCAGCATGTGCCAACGTACACAATAGCACCACAAATGACAGGGTTTGGGGCATCAATTGTGGAAGGTGTCCTAACATTTGCATTAGTGTACACAGTGTATGCTGCTAGGGACCCTAGGCGTAGTGGTCAACTGGGGCCCACAGGTGCCCTAGCCATCGGCTTGATCGTCGGAGCCAATGTCCTAGCCGCTGGTCCGTTCTCCGGCGGGTCGATGAACCCTGCTTGTGCCTTCGGCTCAGCCACTATCGCCGGAACCTTCAAGAATCAAGCAGTGTACTGGGTTGGACCCCTAATTGGTGCTGCCGTTGCTGCTCTTGTTTATGACAGTGTAGGGTATCCCTCTCAGAATGCCGATTCATTTGTAGAAGCAGATAGGGTTTGAAGTCAAAGTAATGTCAAGTTCAAGACATATTTATATTATTCCTGGTCAGATTATTATTTTGCTGCTAGATTTTATGGTGAGCGTGAGTGGTTGATGTCCACTTGTTTAAGACTTGTAGGAGGAGTATTTATTTAGTGCAAGGTTTTACAATTTCATGATTTGATATGTTTTGATAAATATATAACTTTTTCTTTAAATAATTGTTCATTAAGAACTAATCTGCAATACCACCAGAAATATATCTAAGTAATTGCTGCCGCCAAATAAAGAGACAATCACACTATATTATTCCCATACTTAACAAATACACTCGTACAGACTCTCATGACTTGAGCTTTATATATATTTGACCTCACAAGTATACATCAAGTAAATAAGACAACAATAAACAAAGTGATGATATCTCTTTTGTTCTGGTAAAACCAACAGAAGAAAGTACAAAAAGTTTTCCAAGAATGGACTGTCCCAGATGCTAAGCAGCCTCACTTGTATCAAGCTCCTCATTGGAGAAAACTTCAAGCAACATGCAAGTTTAGAGCAGCCAGCTAGATTTAGGACTTCCAACGAGTTCATACAAAACATGGAATTAGGGATACTGACAAGATTGATGCAACCTTTCAAGTTCAAGAATCTGAGCTGTGGAAGTTTAGCAACATATCGATCAAGTTGCAACAATCCAGTACATCCTTCGAGCTCTAGCCTCTCAAGATTTGGAACCCCACCAAAATCTGGCGTCTTTGTCAAAGCTTTGGAGCCACTTAGATTCAGTTTTCTCAAAGTAGGGAGCATCTGTGAATGGAGAATATATAGTACTTTTTGTATTGAAACAAGACACTTGGGGGATATTTAACAACAGGTAAAAGGTATCTATATTTGTTTGGGAGTTTGATTGAATAATTTCTAGTAATTTAAATATTTAAGAACTGAAAGAAGAACATGAACATACCATTCTGCCCTTCCATACTTCTGTCATGCTGCTTTCAGGCATAATCAGTTGAACAAGTGTGTCAGATTGAAAACCCGACGGTAAAGAAGTGAAAGGATATTGATGCCATGAAACATATCGCAACTTGCTTGAAAGATTATTGAGGGTTCCAGAAAATTCCACATTACGGAATATCAGCAATCTAAGGTTGATCATATGTGATAAACCATCAATCCTCAATGAAGCCATTTTTGGCTCTTCCAAATCCAAGGCTATAGCTTCAACACCTTCCACCATCTAGGATTATAAATGCATTTATATATAGAGATGCTGAAATGTCAGATTATTACTTTAACTTCTCATTTGTAATGTAATGCTAAAAAGGGCCATCAAAACTTACCCATGTGTATCTCTGTCTCTCACTAACAGATTCGATGTCATCTGGCTGAGCTTCAACATTTTTCATCACCTGGGAGAGTAAACGCATTTGTACACAAAAATAATGACATGTTAGATTATTGTTTTAGCTTTTCATATTGTAATATGCTAAAAAGTGGTGTCAAAACTTACCGTGTTTCTTTTCTTCTCCATAACAGATTTAATGTCACCATAAAGGTATAATCGGCTTTGTTGATACGGATATTGTCGTCGAATAATATCTCGCCCCATTGCTTGCAACATACTATGCATTTGTATCCTCTCATTTGCAATTGTGATGACTGATTTCTGAATAAGAATTTCTATATCAACAGAGCAATCGATGCAATCATGTAAAATTTCCTTCACACAGTTAATGTCCTTCCCGACAAAGAAACATGCTATGTCCAAAAACATTTCCTTACTCATGTGATCAAGTTCGTCAAAACTTTTTCTAAGCACCCTTATGATCTCATAGGGAGGAATAATTTCTTCCCTATCCAGCAAACTTCTCCATTCTGCAATGCCTTTTCCAAAAAAGGATGAACCGAATATTTCAATTGCTAATGGAAGGCCATTAGCATATTCCAACACCCTATCTATCATCTCTCTGAATTCACCAATAGGATATCCCCCTTGAAAAGCTTGAGAGCAAAGTAGTTCGAAACCTTCCTCCTTGGACAAAAGTTTAGGTCTATAAATGGTTTTAACCTCATATTTTTGAAGGACTTGTTCGTCTCTAGTTGTTATAATGATTCTACTTCCCCCGCCAAAACAATTGGATTTTTGAACTAAGTTCAACTCTTGTAGATGTTGTACAACATCGACACCATCAAGAACTATAAGAAACTTGTGCTTTCTTAACCTTTTGCATCGTAAGAACTCTTTGTCTAGAAAATCCTTCATCTCTGAATTCTCTGTCATCAAATGTCTATGCAGAAGTTCTTGTAGAGTTATGTCACCGTGCTTTAAACGTCCACTTAGATTGGGAAGGAAACAAAAGGCATCAAAAAAGTGAAAGATCTTAAGATATAAAACAGTAGCAATAGAAGATTTCCCCAATCCGCTCATACCACAAATGCCAACAACTCGAACTTCATCATCTGCATTCAAATCCAAAAGCTTTTCCACTTCTTCCACTTGAGATTGCATCCCAACAAATCCGAAGAAGTCATAAAATAGTTTATCTATTTTAGACTTGACTTCTTTAACAATTTTTGGAATAACCTGTAACCCTGAGCTGAAAAAGAGAAAGTGGAACGCCAAATCAATCAAATTTGTTTCCTCTTAAAGATCCTCTGCTATTATTGGTGTGTGGCTTTTATCAGGACAACTTAGAAGTGACATCTAAATTTTTTAAATAGATATATATACACAAATTATATAATATCCATATTGCATCTGGAGTTGAGGTCTGCTAGTACAACAGCTTGTTGTTTTGGCCAAAAGTATGCATGTCTGAGATATAAATATATATATATAGAGAGAGAGAGAGAGAGAGAGAGAAGAGAGAGTAAAATTACGCACTCATTCCGCACTTGCCAGACAGGGGCCACTAGTTCGATAACCTTCCTCTCCCATTGGGTTATCTCAAATGAATCTTGTGTGCATGCTTGTTGAATATGTTGAGCAAAGGATTTTGGATCCACATCGTAATAAACTGCTATAAACCTATCTGAGTTACTCCGGCGGCCAGAGACACGGCACCCTTGTTTCAGAGCTTCCCTCCATCTGTTCACCTTGTATATGTTTGCTTTGCACATTTCTTGTCGTTCAGCATCGACAGCGTACAATGGATGCGCACTGTAAAAAACCGGTGATGATAAGACCTCACACTGAGGTACAATGTGATAACTAATGATGCGCCCAGCAACCTGTGACCGTTCCTTTAAACACCAGCATGAAGAAGCGTAGTTCTTGGAGAAGACAACAATCAAAATCCAGGACTCATCAATTGCTTGAAGAAGGTGATGTGGAAGATTGGAGTCTGGATTTTCATGCTTCTTATCGTCTCCGAAGATTCTGAAGCCTTCTGCTTTAAGAGCAGCCGAAAGGCTATGCATGAATTTACGAGTGTCTTCATCACCTCTAAAGCTGATATATACATGACTCGGTTTCAACGATGATGGGCTGCTCTCCAAATACTCCATGGGATAGAAATCCTTATCATCACCCTGTAACTAGTCAACAATAGAAGCAACAAGCAAGTTATAACAATGATGAATGCGCCGCTAATGTTCTTGTAGCCCAGTGGCAAGAGAGATTTTTGTGAGTTAAAAGTCGTCGGCTTGTAACCTCAAGCCTTTAACGTATGCCCATTTAATTAAAAATAATATGGGCCACCACAAGTAATCTCAATTAATTTAGCTCTCATTTTTTTAATTTTAAATCCGTAAAGTCTTTCGGCAGAATCTGTCCAAGCCATTTTTTCATTGGATCACATGAAGGTGTTTGCATTGCGAAATTACGCTGGGTCACCGCCTCATCATCCCCTGTATGCTTAGTCTCAATAAAGTTGACTTGCTTTGTATAGAATTAATACTACCTCTGGTCCTAATTATAAAAACTAATTGACTAATTTAAAGAATTTAAGAAAATAAATTAAGTTAAGTTAATTATTTGTAATAAATAGGTGTTGTTTTTCTTAAAATATCCTTGCTAATCAAGTGTGTTAGTTAGAACTACCATTATTAGAAGGATTACCTTAGAAAAAAATACATAAATATTAGAGACAAAGTGGATTGGGGTATAATATTTAGGACCAAAATAAAAGTTAAATGAAATCTTATATTAAGGAAAGAAGGTAGTATAATTTTTGGTCCCTAAAATTTGAACATGTTTTAGTTTTGACCTCTTAAATTTCAAAATTTTTAATTCCTTGAATTTAGTCTAAGAGTGTAGTGGTGCTAAAATCTACAAAAGTGTCATAAATAACATTAAAATGGTAATGTGAACTCACTAAATGATGCATAACTAGCTCTGGTGTGGATTTAAAAAGAACAAAAAGAGAAGATCCTCAAAAAGCAACAGCGGGGGATGAATTCTTTAAATACAGTGAATAGCTTCTCAAACAAATGGCTATGTTTTGAGAACCTATTCTTGTTTGTTTTTTTCCTCTTTATTGTCTACAAAAGATTCAATTACGTACCATTTTGTGAGTTAACATCAACATTTTGAAGCCATTTATGACACTTCAGCAAATTTTAACACTATTATTCCTCTAGATTCTAGAAACTAACATTTTAGACAAAAGAGACTTGCAGAAACATTTCCAGAAAATGTCTGAAAAATACTATATGCTTGGAAGAGCTAATGATGTCAATCTCAAGCATACTTTTATTGCCTCTCTTCCAGATGAACTACTACTCAGAAATTCCAACTTATACAAAATGCACTTGGATTACTCGAAGTACGCTGGTCTCTGCCCCGCTATGTCATATTCCATAGGGATGCACAATTAGCAAGGTTCTGAAGGGCATGTTCAAGAGTCCCCGGTCAGATCGGCTAGGATTAAAGTAATATAATTTAATTAAAAATATTACATGCTATCCCAAGGCCAAATTAAAATAATAATATGTTATTTACCAGCTAATGTAAAATACGTAACAAACCAGAGTTAATCATTATTTTTAATCCCAGCTACGTACGACACGTTCACATTAGGTTCCTTTTACTTCGGGCAATCAGTGAATGCAGTTGTAAGAATACTCCATCACAGATCAGAGGTTCAGTCACATCTTACGTTTGAAGTCTAAAAATCGAAATTATTAAGAAGGGAGAGACTACCGGGAAGAGGGAGCTCTGCAAATTGATGGGGTTAGCCGAACTAAACTTCTAATAATGTTTTGTATAAACTTGAAAGGTTTTTTACCCCCTGAGTGTAATAATGTTAAAATCTGCAGAAGTATCATAAACAATATTAAAATGATGATGTGAACTCACTAAATAATGCATAACTAAATTTTATGTGGATTAAAAAAAAAGAAAAAGAAAGAGAAGATCCTCAAAAGCCAAAGCAGAGGATGTGGGGGATGAATTCTTAAAGTACAGTGAATAGCTTCTCAAATAAAAAGGGGTTAAATAGCTATGTTTGAGGGCCTATTGTTTTTTTTTCCTTCTTCTTTATTATCTACACAAGATCCAATTAAGTATTATTTTGTGAGTCAAAATCAACATTTTAACACAGTTTATGATACTTTAGCAAATTTTAACACCATTATATCTTGAAGCTCTAGAAACTAACATTTTAAGAAAATTAAATTTCAGAGACTAAAATCACAGGTTTGCGATTTGATAAACCCAAACTAAAATAGGACCGAATTTTAGTAACCAAAAATTATATTAGGCTGCTTGTTAGTTGTCATGTTGTCATTTGTGATATTAAATTGTTACTAATCATAGTCGGCTTTGTTGGCATTTCTTTTATTAAGAAATTCCAACTTTATACAAAATGCACTTAGATTAGATTACTCGAAGCACGCTGGTCTCTGCCCCCCTGTGTCATATGCGCATGCATAATATTTAGCAAGGTCCTGAATGGGGAATGTTCGAGAGTCTCCGGTCAGATCGGCAAACCAGAGTTAAAATAATGCAAAATACATAACAAAACAGAGTTAATCATTACTTTCACTAATGGCAATGAGTGAATGCAGTTGAAGAATACTGCATCACAGATCAGAGGTCCAGTCACATGTTACGTTTAAAGTTTAAAAATCGAAATTATTAAGAAGGGAGAGCCTACCTGGAGGAGGGAGCTCTGCAAAAATTGATGGAGTTCGCCGAGTGACGCAACAGATGGCGGACTGAGGATCACAAAGCAGCGATGAACGACGGCGACGGCTTGAGGAGGACGAGGACCAAAATGGTGACAGGCCAAGTAGAATTAGCCTTTGGAGCACTGAGCAGTGTGGGACTTTAGGCTCCCCCCTATCGTGTTTATTAAAATATATATGTGTGTGTGTGTATAAAAATGATTTTTGGTTTAAGCTTAAATTATTTTTCAGGTAAGTTGAGTATCCTAGAAATATTTTTTGATTCATCCATCACTCTGAAATATTTTTTCAAAATACGTTCAGTATCTAAAATATTTTGTGAGCGATCCAACGTTTTAAAATATATTTTAGATACATCTAGTTATTTTGCTAAATACACATAAAAAAATATTTTAGAGTATTGAATGAAACTTAATCCAAAAATAATTTTAATATATACTACCTTAGGTCTTTAATATAAGAGTTAGTTGACTAATTTGAGAAGATTAAGAAAACTGAATAAATTAATTATTTGTAATAAATAGATTTTAAAAAAAATATCCTTACTAATTAAATGTATTGGTTAAACCTACCATTATTACATGACTATTTTGAAAGAAAATAGATAAATGTGAGAGATAAAGTGAATTAAGATCTTATATTTAAAATCAAAATAAAAATCAAACAAATCTTTATATTAAGGATATATTATTTTTGTGGTGAATAAGGAGAGAAAAAAAGTAAAAAAAAAAAAGGCAAAAAACAAAAGAAACAAAGGTCCACACTGCTCAGCACTCAGCACGCCGTAATGGGTCCCTGATCACTCATTTGGTGCCTGGGAATAGACCGGCAAAAGTAACCAAACCGTTAACTTGGGCAAACTGCCGTTACTTTGTATCTGTGGGCCCACGGAGTCTGTGAAATCTTCTCTCTCATTCCGGTCAGCTTGACGGACGCGTAATGCTGTCTATGGGTAATGATTACTCTTGATAATTTACTTTGACTGAAAAGTAGGCAAGAGGCCATTATGGGACAAATACATAAAAGCACTCATTCAACAATTTAACGAGACAAAGACATACTCGTCTGATTTTATAAAATCATTTCAATATATTTTATACAGATTAAAAAAAATTTTAAAATTTATTAACTCTCATTTAAAATTTAATGACTTTCTAATTTTATCTCTATTTAATATAGATTATATCTTATATAAATAAAGTCAACACAATAATAAATGAGAGTAAAATTGTACATCTATATAAAAAATTTTCTCAGTACCTACAAATAGGACTAAAAAATACCTTTTATTTCTGTCTTATAAATAAGATCATAGGAGTACTAATTAACCTCACATAATTGCATAGAATTTGCAACAAAATTGAAAGTTTAATCAGTTAAGGTACCATTTGATGGCAGTAGAAGAAGAAATAGAAGTGAAAATAGAAGTGGAAATGAATGTGGAAATGAATTCTAAAGTAGGTTTGGTATGCTAATGGAAGTGAGATATAATTGTCCATTTATGATGTGAAAAGACCTATATGCCCTTGACTTAAAAAAAAAAAAAACCTCCCCACCGTCCAAATTCTCGGTCGCGCCGTCAGCAACCAGCCACCATAGCAATCCACCGCAGCCACCGGCCACCACAAACACAACCATTGTCCTTCATTTTTAACAACTATCAGCCATCAATAATCAATAGCAAATTAAAAAACAAAAAAAAAAAGATTCAGAAGCAGAGGTATCATCATAAAATAAGAGGAGAAAAAGAAGACGACGAGGACGGAGAGTTTCGGACAAATTGCAATCTCTTCCTCAAAGCTTCATGGTCCCGAGACTGAATCAAATTGGATGATCACGAGTCCGCGCAACCTCTCATGAGGACAACAGCAGAAGATGGTTGCGCGAGTCTCTCTCATGGCTTCAAATATGAGAAATCTGAAGCCGCCGTCTCCGCCGTAAGGGAAAGGGTTGGAGACAAGGATGATGGCGGAAAATGATTACAGCTCCAGTGCTTCATAGATCTGAAGTTGTCGCCTCCTACTATATGATGAATCTGCTGCCTCCTAATCTCAGATGAAGCCGTCGTCACCTTCTACCCTTAGATCTGAAGTCGACCGTGTCTTCACCGGTGCTTCTTCGTCATTATCAGTGCTTCTCATGGAGGCT